ATAAATTAGGGAAACTCACTTTCTGGACGCACCTCGTATACAGGGGCAGCAGCCAAACTTTTCAGAAAATAGGCGGATTTTTTTTAAAAAAAAATAGGAGTGTTGAAAAACAAATAAAAAATTCACTTTAAAGTAACTTAAAACATTTTCATGGATATTAATCTAAATCACAAAAAATATCTACTTCCCTACATAGGCCAATATAAATTTTAAGAACACTAATTAATGGATTAAAAATTCTCTAAGTAAGACAGATATTTTACTTTCTACTCTTTTCATCGAGACTTTAGAATTATGATGCATTAGTAATATAATGTACAATTGTCTAACCCTGGACGGGAAGCTTCCTATTTCATGTTTGCCCCACCCAGCATGCAGGAAACCTGTTATAATCATTCCTTATGTAAATAATGTTTTTCTGGAATATAAAACTATCTGCTTTACGGATGGTAGTAAGCTTGATGGAAGGGTTGGTCTTGCTTTTGTAATTTATGAAAATGGAACAGAGAAGATTCTGCACGCACCGACTGCCAAGCACCGACTACATAATGAATGTACTGTTTTCCAGGATTAACTTTTGTGTATAAACCTGGTTGCTAAGTGGTTACAAAATTCTTTTGGTGAAAACCAAATTTTTAAATATCTCATTTGTACAGATTATCTTTCTTCACTTTTTCTTTTGCGTGACACGACTTCTACTGAGAAGCTTGTGGTGGAAATTCACTCGATTTTGAAAACGTAACTATTCATTTTTCTTACGTTCGTGGTCAAAGCGGTATTTTGGGCAATGAAAGAGCAGACCAATTGGCTAGGGAACCTACGTGTGGTGAAATAGACTTAAGGGTGTCTGTTCCAGCTTCTCACTGGAAGCGCATCGCTAGAGATAAAATCATTGCGGACTGGAATGCTGAATTTCTTGCTTCGCCTCGGTCGCTTTGGACGAAAAGGTTCTTTCCATCCATTTTTCACCGTTTGCAATGTAAATTCTTTGCAACTGATTTTAAATTGACCCAAATTTTAACAAACCATGGAAATTTTAAGAGATATTTATTTCGTTTCCATCTGCAGACCAGTGGAATTTGTGCTTGCGGTGATGCTGATGAAGATGCTGAACATATTCTTCTTCACTGTAGTCTCTATGCGAGTGCCCGAATGAATTTAAAGACTGATTTGAGACGTCTTTCAATTTGTTGGCCACCTGTCTTATCAGAACTGGTCAAAAGTATTGAAAGTCTTGCGGCCTTGCGGAATTTTGTTTTTAATGTAAATTTGTANGTGTTGAAAAACAAATAAAAAATTTACTTCAAAATAATTTAATACATTTTCATGAATATTAATTTAAATCACAAAATATATCTACTTCCCTACTTAGCCAATATAAATTTTAAAAACCCCAATTAAAAGATTAAAAAGAAAATTTATCAAAAAATTGTTTTTGACAAATTTTGCATTTTATAAATAAAATATTCTTATATCATAAACCATTATATTATAAAATTTAAAAATACATTAATTTCGCATATAATTTTGTCTAAAAAAAATTATTTTGGCAAGGAAACCTTTCTTTATGCTGAAAAAAAAATTAGAATTTATTTAATGATCTATCATGGATCGCATTCTACAATTATTATATATCCTGAGGCAGAATTTTTCATGGGTTTCTGCAAGATACTTTTAACAATAGATACATATGTTAATATAAAAGCGTAAAAACAAACAATAAAAGCATTATGCTTACAAAGAAAAAAAAATTAATTGGATAAAAAAGAAAAAGTAGGAAATAACAGGAAAATAGGAAGGATGACGAAATAATAGGAAAAGTAAGAAAAACAGGAAGTCTGCTGTCGCTGTTTATAAATATATATATATATATGAAAAAATCCAATTCAAATTGTAGCCTCAAAATGTGCAGTTAAATTAAAGTACTTTAAATTTTGTTGATATTTTTAACTTATTAAAACATTTTGCTCCTGAGAGACTGTTGATTGATACATTATTTATAACACTACTAAATATGTAAAAATGAAAACATATATGTATAAAGTATCATGTATCACATTTCATTTTCACGTACAACGTATGTCCCCTTTGTTAAAAGTCTCAATAAAAAATAAGCAGAAGTTATTTCTTTAAATACATTAAAGTAAAAGCAAAGCTACATAAATCCAATAGGTATAGTGTTTTAAAAATATAGTTTTATTTTGAAAAGAATATTTTATCTGATAAAATTTTTGATAAGACATAAAATTTATAAAAGCATAATATTATATCATGTAATCTAGAGTGCCTAGAGTAAAAGAGTGTGGACAAGGGAGAAACGATTCCTGATTGGTGGAAAGAAAAACTTTACCGCCGGAGGCGAGAGTGGAAAATTCACCATTGGAATTACACAGAGTGAAAATTATCTGACTCAAAAACTTTATGTTCTGTATTAATAAATGCATGTAATAAGTTCATTACTTACTTTTTTTCAATAAGAAACTTCACAGTTACAGTAAATATAAAAATTATGGCTGAAAATTTGGATAGTTGTTAGTTATTCGAATTTATCATTATTATCACTTACTTGCGTGCATATAAAGTTATGTTTATCTCATTGTAAAGAGAACAAGGGGATGAAATAACTAATGGTTAGATAAGAATAAATGTATTTACTTTTAATACACATTTTTTCTATCTAAATTACTTATAAATCTTAAGATTTGAGCATCTTTGTATCAAAACTTCAGAAGTGCAGAGTTTGGCGATATTACTTTGACATGTTGGCGCGTTACAATGTTCGCGTTACAAAGTAGCATTTGTTTACTTTTCGTTACCAACTGTATGAAATGCTAGTTTGTTTTAAATTTCAACTAATAATGGAAATTTTTGTTAACAATTTGTTGAAATAAACAATACCTTTTCAGGTGAATATGCGATAATTTTTTCCTGAAAAAGTAATAAATAATAATAAATTATATAATTTGTTTTATTAATTATTATTTCTGAAATAAATGGCATAATCATTATTGATTTTTATATTTTATTTAAGGTATTTATTATAACCTGAAGTCTTTTCTTTTTTTTCATTGACGTTAATTTTTTAACAGTTTCAGATGCTAGACAATGTTTTTTAAAAAATCTGTAATATCATGTGCTTTCCAATCTTAAAGTTTATATTATTGATACTTTAGTATATACTCTTAGAATAACAGAACATTCAGAATAACACCAAATGAGCGAGTGGCGCCAATTTATGTGTATCATCTGGCAACCCCCTTGGACAAAAATATGACGGCAGCGCATGCGCTCTTGGATATTGTCATCACTCTTTTCAATACAGGCACTCTTATGTAATCCTATGTGACAAAACAATCACAAATGAGATAAATTTTTGGGGACATATTTCAATATTTTAAATTGTAGTCGAACTTTTAAAGAAATATAAGTCATAAAACGTTTTGCTAAGGTAAAAATAAAAACTTTTTTTTTTACAATGAATTTGAATTTATATGGTTTTTCTTAGAAGAAAGATACAACATTAAAAATAATACGAGAAAAACCAAGACATTGATTACAGTAGAAATTATCATGATTAAAATAAATATATGTATAAAACTCTAAATTGCAAAAAAAAGATGAAAATTCAAGAATATTAAAGTAATTTTAAGTTTAGCGTTTTCCTATTCTTGTTTCGGTTCAACTTATATGGTTTTAAAAATAGAAAATGTTGTGCTTAAAAATGAAAATAAAATTATTCAGTCGATGGACAGAACTAGTATTTATATTTTGAAGAAATAATAAATTATAATAAATGTGGTCGGAATAATTTTTATACATATTTCATTTCATATATTTACCTTTTTATTATTTAAAAGAAAAGAAACAGACAAGATGAGATATTTCGATTTTCTTGTATCACATGGTATTTGTATGTGTATTTTGGAAACCATAAAAACTTTATATAAATTTACACAATGAAATAAAAAAGATAACACAAAATTATGAAATAACAAAGACAATTTCAGTATTAAAATGTTAAAAACTTAACACTTTTAATTCAGAAAAAAAAAATATTTGTTAAAAATACCAAATTATGAAAAGGTAAATTAGCACAAAATAATTACTTTAAAAATTATTTATTAATTTATTATTTTGATAAAAACAGAATAAATGAAATTACATAAAATATGCCGAAAACACTCATACAATAAATTAAATTTAACAAATTATCCCATTCTTAAAAGAAGTAATATATGAGGTGAATATGGAAGATGTAGAGGGGGAGGGGACAATTCCTACATCAAAATGCGTTATTATAAATTACATTTAATATTTTGGCTTTAACGTTGTTTTTTTCTCACGATGACGCAAGTTTTTTTTAAAGCTAGGTATGATGGACATAGTCATCATCTTCCTTTTATGCTTTTCAGAGCATAAATTAATTTTTTATAATTATCAAATAAAAATTAATTGCGGTTTACAAAAAAATTAATTGGGTNAGTAATATATGAGGTGAATATGGAAGATGTAGAGGGGGAGGGGACAATTCCTACATCAAAATGCGTTATTATAAATTACATTTAATATTTTGGCTTTAACTTTGTTTTTTTCTCACTATGCCGCAAGTTTTTTTTAAAGCTAGGTATGATGGACATAGTCATCATCTTCCTTTTATGCTTTTCAGAGGATAAATTAATTTTTTATAATTATCAAATAAAAATTAATTGCGGTTTACGAAAAAATTAATTTGGTTTAGATAAAAAGCTGAGGAAGATGAAGGAGGATTCCAAGAACAATATTACAATAGAAATAAAAAGAAGAATTACTCTAGCAAGTATGTTTTAATGAAATTCAAAAATACATAATATCTAATGTAATTCATAGAAAAACGAAAGTTTTATTACATAAATCCCTTTTAAGATCAATTTTAACATATGCTTGTGAAACCTGGACCCTATCTTGAACGGATGAGGCTATGTTAGATACCTTTGAGAGAAAGGGTCTTGAGTAGTATTTTTTGAGGAATTCAAAAAAAAAAAAAAAAATGGTGTGTGGCTTAGAAGATCAAATCTAGAGCTTTATCACTCATATAATGAACCTGACATTATTAACTTTATTAAGCAACAAAGAATAAAATGGGCAGGCCACGTCATCAGAATGGACGAAGACCATACCACAAAAAAAGTTTTTAATGCCAGACCAGTTGGCACACAAAAAAGAGGCAGGCGAAATTTGAAATGGATTGATGGCCTAGGAAAAATTTCTTGAGAAGACCAAGGCGCTCCCTGGGCTGTTGAGCCATTGATGATGATGAAGGAGGATTCATTGAAAAACTGGGGACATTTGAAGAACAGGAAAGGGTATTAGCAGAAATAAAAGAGTTCAGTGTAGAAGATGGGGGAATAATCAAATCAGTCGAGAAGGTGTAGGTGAGATGAATCTGGAAGATGAGAAGAGAGTACATCCGAAGATATGTTATTATATATAACATTTAAAATTTTGGCTTTTATTTTCTCTCTCTGCCTAAGTCTTTTGAGTATTAAAGACAGGCCTTTGTCTTCTTTTTTCGCTTTTAAGAGTTCTTATACCGCCCTTTCAAAAGAGTCCATCTCCTGCTTACTTTTTCCCCCTCATTTCTGATAAGTCATCATTTCTTTCAACATTGGGAATGTTGGACATTGTTTTCGACGCTAAAACTGTTGGCATCAGAAGAAGCAGATCCAAAAAGTTTTTTCTTTCTATGTCTGCCACCATCAAAAGAATGATTCTCCGTTTGGTCCCTCAACTCTTTAACAAAGGAATTCCACCTTTTCTGAATTTCCATACCTGTAAGAATTACGAAAAATATATTTGCAGTGCCAGCCAAATCTTTCAGCAAAAATAAGCACCTTTTAAGTACTTTTTAAGCCCTATGTACATTAACAAAATACAAACTAATTTTCAAAGATTTTCCATGATCATGATAAAACAACTAGTTTCTGACAAAGCATTCTTTTCTAGATTATATTAGCTACCATAAAAAGATTTTTTAGTCCGATACCAGAGTGTGTAAAATGAAGCTTGAAACTGAAAATATGTAGCTGCACATGACAACGCAATAATCTCGCCGAATGCAGCTCAGTAGTAGTGGACTCGCAAGTATTTCATCAAGAGTATGCATATTTATTGGACGCTATGGACTGACAGTTGGCTGAAATGGATTGAGGTTGAATGAATTATAAAAACGTTGAATAGAATAATGTGAAAAATTGTATAATATAAAATTGTTTACATTATTTTTATATTGAAAGAAATTAATTGTAAGAAGGTATCAGTTACTTATACATACAACATTGAATATATCAATATCATGAAAATTCTTGCTAACAACAGGAGGTTCATTCAGTACCAGAATACAGAAAACACTTGCCCTAATATTGACAAAACACATGTAATTCAAAATTATGATAGCTATAAATCTGTTTGTAAAATTAATAATGTTATTTATATGTTACGCTGTTGTTTTTGGAATGTGAGATAGGTTAGACAAACTAGTAACTCCAGGGTATCTGCTACAGTTTAGATTTTCAAATCCATGACTAATTCCAAGAATTTTTCATGACTTAACAAAGTCACTATTTTCCCCGACGAAAAATACAACAATAAATTTAAAAAAACATTATAATAACATTAATTGAAATCATAAATTTTAAATTTAAAAATCGGAGTAAAGAAAGAGTTGAAGCAATAAAATAGCAGAAAAAATACAAAAGCAAATACTTTTTTTCTTTTTATCTCAAGAACTATATTCTAAAGACACTTTTCTTGTTCATCGGAAAGGAAAGAAACACTCCTGATTTTTCTGTTCTCATTTCGAAATTTAAAAAAATTCACCAATGACTGGCTTGCTTCAGCTAGATTTTTAAACTGATGAAATAAAAAAATTAAATAATAATAAATATTTTGAAATCACAGAAGTTTAAAAGATAATTCATTCCAGAAATTATGTTTTTTCCTTCTTTTTTTAAAAAAGCATCATAATTTTTAAAGAACATGATAAAAACATTTTATGTTTAAATATGACCGTGAGTGGGGATTTTGTTAGAAATTCAGATATTTAGAACACCATGAAATTGGGGGGATTCCATTTTAAAAATTAGATTTTTCGGCAACCTAAAATCATGACTTTCCATGATATTTTTTTTTAAAAAAAATAGTTAAAATCATGACAAATTTTGTTTAATACCGAAATTCATGATTCTCCATGACTTTCCAGGCGCACAGATACCCTGTAACTCTCTTAATCAATTAGAATTAATAAGCAACGTTCAGATATAAACTAAGGAAATTATCAATAACTTAAGAATTGAATCATATTAACGAATCATATATTTTTTTCCAGTTTCTCTACAGAATTACAGTATACTCGGATTTCCTAACAACAAAATTATATAACTAATAGAATAATTGTATATAATTAGAATAATTAATAATTTAAATCATGAACAATTACTTTACAGATGAGCAAGATTAATTAAATATTAAATATTTTTAATAGTAAAATTCACAGAATATTAACTAATATGATGAAAACTAGTTTGTGCTGCAAAAAACAGATCTGATCGAATACACAAAGAGCAAATACAGAGGGTGTTAATTTTACAGTGAGAGAAATAAACAATAAAATATATTAACCTGTTAATAAAAGACACCAACATATCACATGCTATGAGTTTTAATCTTTGTTTCAAATGTTTGGCAAAAACTTCATCAGGCCAATGTAAGTCCCGGATGAAAGACTGTAATGCATCTAGTTTCCAAAAAAGATCTTCAGAAGTAATGCATTCATGCCTACAAGACAAAGATGAAAATGCAATACCACAAATCAATGAAATAACTATTACTACAACACAACATTTGAATTTATTAATCAGGGGTATGTCTAGGTGTTTTTTAGAGGTATTTTGTGAAAATTCAGATTTAATTAGTGAAAAATTAAAAATTATAATAAAAAATCAACACAAAAATATGGTAAAGAAAGAAAATATTTTTAAAAATTGTCACTACAAATAAAAATCATTTCACTCAGAAATTTCTATATATTTTTCCACATATATTCAAAAATAATTTCACTATTGGAACATTTTGGGCTTAAAATTGCATCCAAATTTAAAAATCCTTAAAAATCATTGTCCATAACTAAATTTAAACTTGAATTTAATAAAAACATGCATTTAACAATACTAGCACTAAAAGTTATTTTCATTATGAGAAAATATTTGACTAGGTCAAACAGAAAAAAGTTTCCCAGAGAAAAGATGTTTCATAAAAAATAAAGGTATGGTAGAATAAATTTACAATAGTGATTAAGGTTATGTTCGAATGTTTAGAATAATGTTTGAATTTCAACTTCCTGTACAGTTTATACAGGGAGAGCTTCGTTGTTTAATTTTAAAAAAAGCTCAGCAAAAAAAAAAAAGCTCGCTTTGATATGGCGTAAGAGACTGGTTAGGCATACCACATTGTACTATCTGATCAAACACATGCTATCCTTTCATAAAAGACAGCTGAAAGAAAAGCCCTTCTTTTTCATAGATTGCAACGAGAACGGGGTTCGCATGAGAGCTTGCTTTTTTTAAATCATTTTGTGAAAATAATGTTAAGTTGAATTTGTGAAGGTACTGCTAAAGCATACTAAATTCATTCAGGACAGACCCCTGATAATAGAGATCAATTGCACACAACATTAACTTTGAAAATACAAATGTAAGGTTCAGGTTTCTTCCCTACAATGCTATTACAGAAGATTTTAATTTGAGAAGAAAAAAAAGAACAATCAATTTCAATACCTTCTAGAAGTAAATGATTGATTTGTTTTGCCAAGCTGATATATATTGCTGAGTTCTGTAAAGTCACTCTCTCCAGACTAACATTTATCCCCACAGACTAACATTATCCAGACTAACATTTATCCCTAACAGATTATCCCCACAAGAATTATAGCTGTGATAGAATTCAATGAACGGATACCAACGAAACTAGTTGATTCATTGCTGTTTTGTGAAAAGCTGGGAGAGTTGTATTAAGATCACCATGCTATGGAGTGCTTATTATGAGAGCTGTATTAAGATCACGGTTGTGGTCGCTCCTGTATTGCCTTTAGCAGTCGATTGTATACGTTGTACATGATCGAGACCGAGCAGCAACAGTGCAAGGAGGTGGATCATATCGCAATCACAAATAGCAAGTCAACTATGCAATACAAACCATCCACTGAAGTAGGCGTGTTCAGATCAAAGCAGGCGTTACTGCCAAGATAGGCATGCTCTTATCAAAGTGGGACTTTCTGTCAAGGTAGGCACATTCACATCACGTCCGGGTCACCAATGTGGAGAATGAGTTGTTATTGACTATGTCAACCTTCATCTATGAAAAGGAATAGAATTGAGTTAACATGTCTCATATACTAGTGAGTTGGAATTGTTTATTTATAGTGGTAGATACACCACAGAGTCAAACAAAACATTTATGTTTAATAGATTCATTATTAATGTAAGAAACACAATATGAATTAGTTCAAAAAAATGTATTATCTTAATGCTTTAAGAAATATAATTTGAATAAAAGAAAGTGCTGCTTAATAGAAAGTGGATCTTAATCAGGGGTCTGTCTAGGTTTTTCTGAAAGGTACCTATTTTGTGAAAATTTAGACATAATTTGTGAAAAATTAAAAATTATATTAAAAAATCAACACAAAAATATGGATTTATCGTTTCTTAAGGGATACAAAAATAAAATTTTAAGAAAAAGCATTTTGTGAAACTTCCGTTTTTCCTAAAATTGAATTTGTGAAACTACCGTTTTTCCTAAAGTTGAATTTGTGAAGGTACCGCTAAACGGTAGTAAATTCGGCCTCGACAGACCCCTGTTAATAGATTATTAATTAGAATTATATTTATTAAAATTTATTTTTAAAAAAATGATACAATTTTTTTAAATTGAATAATATAATAGTTTTTTATTTTAATATTATGGGTGATATTCTAGCATTTTGTTGGGGAAAACGCACAATTATTTCCTTCATATTTTGTGAATAATCATCACAATAAAAAAATAAAAAACCATGAAATCCGTAGTAGTAATTGCAAAAAGAAAAAAAGAAAAAGAAAAAAAAAAAAANAAAAAAAAAAAAAAAAAAAAAAAAAAAAAAAAAAAAAAAAAAAAAAAAAAAAAAAAAATTCAGCATTGAAATTAAGCAAATTCTCCACAAATTTGTTTTTAGTTCCCAGATTAGGTTATCGTAATAAATATCATAAAAAAGCAGTTTTTAAAAACAACAGAAAAGTCAATAGCGATAACTGCCAAAAATTCAGTAGAATTATTGCCTTGAAAAGTAAATACTCAACTGCATGATTTGAATTTTTTCCATATCTTTTGAAATATATCGGGATATTCAAAAAACATGTGAGAATCAATAACTGCCGAAACATAACTTCGATTTACGATACGATCAGCATAAATTGAGAGCATCAAAAAGTGATTATCTAAATGCATGAGTCAAACATAACATGCAAATTTCAGCACAAAAGTAAAGTAAAGAAGAAAACTACATTTTTTTACTTTTCAAAAGAAAATTCTTTCTGGTAAAACAGTGGTGTCAACAATGTCGCTGCGATTCTGCCACTGGGTGTACAGTGAGTGGAAACCTTTCAAATTTAGCTAAAAAGATTACGCAAGAATAGAAACAAGTGGAGTATATGAGATAATATATTTCATGTAATTAAAAAATATTTAAATAATACATATTTTAATTATTTAAAATTCCCACTAAATTAGGTAGTAAAATAAATACCCCTTTAATTCCCATTGTTCTTTTTCGCAGCTTTTATGAAGAGCAATAGATGATTCCATTAGATCCAGATAACGGGCAACTTGGGGAGCAAATGTAAGTTCTTGATGGAATCTCCCTCCGCATAAGTTTTCTGAAGAAAAGCTGTGCTTAAGCGAAAAATGCACATAATATACTAATAAGCAAGATTAGGATGTTGGTGGGTGGGTGGATTATTCAAGCCATTTTTTAGATTTTGTTCATTTTATAATAATTTCTTTATGTATTGTAAATAATATTACCTTTAAGAACATTTTCATAGTAAGTTTTTTATTTGTGACTAGAGTAAATATTGCATTAAATCTTGTTATTATTTTAAATATTCTCCAATAACAAATTTTGATGTTGAACAGAGGCATTCTTTCGATTTTAAGAAAGTTAACTATTGAATTTTAACATATAAAAACATGGTTAAAAATATAATTCATTACCATCTTCACTGGAAAACAATCCCATGTATTTGGAGGCTGTTCAGCTAAAAGTGTGTCCATATCAACAGCTAACAACGACCAGAAGATTTCCGCGTGTTCAACCATGCAAAAGCCTGTAAAATTTTTTGAACATTTATTATCCTTTGCTGATGCAAACAATTTTAATAGCTATCCTTATCATACCTAAAGAGTATTTCTACCATTAAAAATTATACAGAAAAAAGTTATTTCACTAACTAACAAGATAAATCTAAAAATTTTGTGAACGGCATTTACGAATATTTCAAAAGTAACAAGAGTAAAAAATTTAATTCTATGCATACACATGAGATGGCTGATAGAAAGGAGAGTAAGAAGAAGTTTTGTTTGAGCAGTGAAACATATCTACTATTCTAAGTGTATGTCTAAGAAATGCATTACATGTAGACCTAGAATCCATATTCAATTGGTTTAACATTTAAACATTTCAGAGAAGGAAAGGAAACCATACTGATGACAAGTCATATTAGGGGGGACCATAAAGAGATGTGACGATTCCAGGTATGTGACATGTGCTGTTGATCACTTATAAACATTGAAAGATTCTGGAATTAAGTAACAATAAGGAACAGTGGTAGTAGATCACTCACAGAGATTTCAGCAATTGAATAATACTTTCTCACTTTATCCCGCACTCATTGAAGACAAATAACATTTAATATAGAAAAGGTCCTTGAGGACTCCATGAAGACAAGTTACATCATCTCTAGATTTAATGTAAAAAAGTCTTTTGAGGACTCATTTAAGGACAGTAACACCAATTCATTGCAAAAAGAGCCTTCACTGTCTCAGTTTGTGCAAAGTGTTTCGTGACTAACTGATTTTGTCTGGAGCATTATCACCAAACTTTTTAAATGCACTTTCTATTACTTTTATGTGTATTCATTGAGTCAATTTAATTAAAATTGAATCCCTAACATCGCATTAATAATTAAACTGATTCAAATTCTTATCAGAAACATTAAATAAAAGAGCAAAGCAAGTTCAAGCTTTTTATAAGGTTCCATAAGCGAAGTGCTGATTATATAGATGAATAAAGTTAATCAAATATAAAACTGTTATGCATTGCACAATTTAATTTTCAAACGCTACATTAATTGCCGAAAGTTGAATTTAATTTTTAGCAGTCACTAATTAACTGGTCACCAAATTGAATTGTGAAGGAAAAAGTATGGGCATGTTTTGTTTTCAGATAGTGAAAATGCTGCATTATAATCATTCTGCAATTTTTTTTCTGAATCTTTAAAATGTTTTCGATTATAAGATTTCAAGAGAAAAAATATCAATCTGTTATAGAAACAAATACTATTTATTGTGCTTCTGGTCAACTTCTTGATTGATAAAAAACTAAACGAAATAGAAACATTTTATACGACAAAAAGTCTGCAAACATGAAGAAAAAAAAATTCTAAAAGAATATTTTCTGAAAATTCTGAAATTTTCAGAAAAAAATTTCTGAAAATTCTACAACAGGCCAATAAGCTTTTTCAGCAAACATTCAATTTGTTTCACTTTTAAATGTACAGAACTTTTATTGACTCTATACTATTTGCAAAACTTTTCACCTTGACTTCTATTAACAATTTTCAAAGTGCATTGAGTGCACTAGTGGGTAAGATAAAATTTAAAGCAAGCAATTTTTAGCAATGTAGAAGCTGTTTTGGTACAAATAGTTTCAAAAACCGAACAAAAACATTCACACATTTTTTTTTCAAATCTGGTAGAAGACAGCTTAAACTAACTTAAGAGAGAATAAGTCCAGAAACATTTTCCATAATATTGAGAAAAAACATCTTCTAAGATACCAAATAAAAAAAACAGAAGTTTCATATTTTCTACAAAATTCAAAACTTTCTTGAAAAAGTAAAAAAAAAAAAAAAAAAATCTAATGTAGACAACTCTCTAAAATTATTATTATTCATACTGCTCTTTGAAGAATTAAGATTTGTAGAAGAAGAGAAACACTTTAAAAATGAATTATAACCATAAATATTACCGAAGAAATATTAAAACCAGATTAAAAAAAACATTAATTTTTAAAAATGAGATATTTGTAATAAAAGATTACAAAAGAAAAAAAAAAAAACATCACTATAAACAATTCTTCAAAATGTAGCAAACAGTAAAACTATCAAAACAGTAAAACTTTAAATACTTTATTTAAACAAGAAAATAATATTTAAAAAAGGTTTATTCTTTATATTTAGAAATACTGAAAACTATTCCAAATGTACTTTTTTAAGTTCATAAGAAAAAATCAGTAATGCAGATCTATTTCAGAAACTCTGCAGAATATTTTTTTAACTTTTTTGGAAAAAAATGTGACAGATATTAAAATTTAAGTAAACAAATCATGGTCATAAAACTGTCACCACTTTAAGAAAGCCAAATTGTTCAGTTGAATTGTTTATGAATTTGTTTAAATCTTTTTCAAAATTTCACAGATATTTCAGTTACTCTACATTAAGTTTATACAATAAAATAAATTTTAATATATGTCTTCATACAGATGCTAAAATGTTTCTAACGATGTAAAAAAAGTATAGAGTAAAACAGTGTGAGTGGAGAGAAAAGCATCACATATTTCAACAATGGTTCCCAACTTTTGCTCTGAAGTCTTATTAAAACATTCTTTTAAAAATTAAGAAAAAATTTTTATGGAATATTTTTCTCCACTGAAAATAGCTAAATTTAGTAATTACTAATGACAATAAGAAAACACTAGTAAAAGTGGTATAAAATTTTAAAATAGACCCTTTTTAAATTTGTTTTCTTAAGAACTATAGTAACTTTAAAATTGACCAACATAAAATTTATACAATAAATGTTATGTTACTTGCTTCAGGACAAAAAATGACTAAAATTTAAAATTTCGAAAAAATTTGTTTGCAATTAATACACTTAAAAGAATGGAAAAAACATGCACTCCTCAAATCAATTGAAAATATCAATATATATTTTTAGAATAAATAATAAATATAATAAATTAAAAATCATAATATTAAGTACAATAAATTAAAAAGTATAATAAATTACAGGTTTAATGATTTTTTTCTATACAAAAATTAGTCAAATAGTAGTAGTTGTTAATTAGTCAAATATCTTCGATTCTGTTCAAGGTTGGCAAGTTTCTGCCGAAGTGGTTAAAACCGGCATGGCAGAAACCCTTTTCTGCCACATTTGTGGTAGAAACTGGCAGAAATTCAGAAAAGGACATAAAAGTAAGTACTGAGATTGACATACAATGGATAATGCATAGAAAAAACAATTAATTGTTAAACAAAGTACAATTTATTTTCAAAATTATCACCATTCGAAATCAAATATTACATTGTTTTCACTCTGCAGTAATGTATAACAAAAGACAAGTTTTGATGCAGTTTCTAAACCTAAACAATTTCTCAATTTGCCTATGCACGAACGAGAAATTTGAGAAGATTCTCTCAAGTTCAGCAGAACTAGCAGGCATGGCCATCAAAGAACAAGCAAGATTTGTGAAACTTTCATCTATTGCATATTTTTTAAAACTGGATCACCATGTAGCAGCTGGGGTAGTCGTCGAAACTTGACAGGAAAAATAAGTTTCAGGAAATGGGTCCGATTTGTTTTATAAAAATATTTGATATACTGCACTCTTTATGAGTTACATTTTTCAGTTTACTTAAACAAAATGTCATTAAGCAATTACTAGAACTAATATAGACGTATTTTTAGTTTCTGCCAGTTTTTACCGGTTATAACCAGTTTCTCCCAGCAAAAAGCCAACCCTGATTCTGTTTGACGTTTTACCATCTTAGTAGTAATTTCATGATCCCAAAGCCAACAGAGCTTAGGGTCCTTATCATAAAAAAAAACTCAACTTTTCAAAATAAATGATATTCTGATGATATAAGGTGGCAGATGTATGGGAGATTTAAAATCGCAAAGCAATCCTGTTTAATACAATAATGCAAGGCCTCACACATTTTCAGCAATACGTACAAAATTATAGCAGCTTGGTTGGTAGGTAATGTCGCATCCTCCATATAGTCCTGATTTTGCACTATCATTTAATATTTATATCACTTATCATATCTTTATCACCATTTTTACAAACTTTTTAAAAATTTAGTAATACAAATTACCTTAAATCACATAAAATTTTGATAAAATTACCATTCTATTTAGTAATGACATTTCTAGTTTAAAAAAAA